CCCATTTGCTTTTTTTAATTTCTGAAATGTATTTATTTCTTCTTTACTTTTATTTATTTAACGGTTTGAATTTTCTATTACGTCGTTTGATTAACGTAGTTATAAAAATGTTTCCGTTTATATTTAATCAAGGGTTAGCGAATTTAAAAAATCGGAATTTTTATTTTAATTATTATTCTAACAAAAAATTTCAATTAAATTATTATTAATTTTAATTATTATCTGCGGGATTCGCAACCGTTTCAAATATTTTCGTTTGAATTTTAAATTTGAATCTGGCGCATGCTCACTCCTTCCTCAAACTCTCAAAATTTACAGAAATGGCATTAATTATTAAAAGTTTTACTATAATATTTAAATATTTCTTAAAATTGTTATTAATAACTGTTTAAATTTTCTACTTTCCTAGCCTGGATGATGTTATGACTTTAAAATCAATCACGTGATATGTTGGAAAATTTAAATCGCTGCATGCGAATTGATAATAAATGTAAAAGTTTTAAATTAAATTGTAACCGATTTCGAAACTTTAAAAATATTTTTAAATTATTAATTCAACTCTTGTTAACAAATATAATTTGTTTATTTTAAACATTTACGTAATAACATTTAAATTACATTTTATGACGTAACCGTTTTAAATTAAAAAAAAACTTACATACATTTTAAAAAATAAATATTTATTTATTTAAATAAATTCTTAATAAAATAAGAATTTAAATAATTTGTTTACCATTAGCTTATTATTTAAATTTTTAATTATTTTTCTAGATTCTTCGGTTGCAGAATTTAAAATTTTAAAAAGTCAAACCGAAGCAGTGAATGATGGGAATGTTTTTTTTGAAAATTTAAAATGAAACAATGAATGATGGGAGATCATTTATTTTAAAGTTTAAATATTTATTTGTAAATAGTGTTTTAAGCAAATATATGCTTTTAAATGGTTTAATTATTTAATATTTTAGCATATTTTGTATTAATTGTTTTATAAATTCGAGTTGAAAGAATGAATTTTGAAAATACAAAACCGGTTTTTTTAAATTTAAAATTATCGCAATGAACGTCGGGAGATAATTTAAAAAATTGCTATTATCGCTTGTTTGAAGTCATATTTAAGAGAAATCTACTAGAAAGTAATGTTGAAATCAATAACGATTGTTATTAATGTAGAGGGGTGCAGAAATGGGGACGCTTTCCACGAAATTTTCTCATTTATAGTCTCGACGTCAGTCAGGTAAACACTAACATTATTTAATTTAATAGCTTTCCCCCTCTTCGAGGGCATTCCACGTGGCTCCATCTATCAGACTCGTTTTAAATTACATGCTATGTGTTACGTCATAAACAAACGCTGGATACTGTCATGGCCGAGAAGAACGTCACGTGACGTTACGTCGGCTCGATCCCGTTCGGTGTCCCTCAACGAGTGTGTAACGCGATGAAACATGCTACGTGAGTGTTGACAGTCAATCACTCCTCCTCGTGTGACACGACGTAGCATGACGGCTTCATCACGTGATGTGACGTAATTTCAGTTGTAATTCGAGACTAGAAACCATCGACTTCTCACATTGTTACGTTTAATACGTTGCATGTCGCGTGAGTCTAGCACGTGTTACGTACTCCATTTTGAAATTTACGATGTAAATGGCACGAATTTTTTTTTCTTTTAAAAAGTACCCGGAATCAAAAAGCAAACATATTAAACGAAAAAGACACCCACTTATGTATGACTCATCCGAGATTTTTATCTGTTTAATCTCTCATAATGTTACATTTACTCATAGAAAGCGGCATATAGATGTTACGAAAGAATTGGAAACGTGACTCAATTATCCATTACAATAAAATACATCATTAAAGCGAGTTGAATCATGGCGACGGGTTGGTAGCGTCACGTGATTTATCTAGAACTGTTTCCCTTGTTTCAAGCCACCTTTATCTCGCACCACGAAGATTGAAATGTAACATAAATCACCACTGCAATGGGAAGAAATTTATGTAACGCCAAGCAACACGAATGCAAGCAGAGAAATGGCGAATCCAAAGGTGGCCGTTAGTCACATGACTTTTTAAAAAAACCTTCTAATCTCACGGTTCCGTGACGTAAGAGAATCGCAGCACGGTGCGCCAAACTCGTCGTTCCGCGAGTTGCAAGATGGCAACGAACCAGTAAAACGTTGCACCGAGGAACGGCGCAACAACGACCGAGTCACGTGACCCGGGCCGCCGACGATACAACGGAGCCATCACATAAGCGGAGAGGCGTCCTTTAGCAGGCTGGCAGGGGAGAAAAAAAAGGGGGGGACATTTCGACTCTTACAGTAATTTAAGTCGTTTCTTTTAAGGCTAATATTTAATTAGTTAGCAGCGCAAACTTTATTATCGCGCGCATCATAACTGTTAAGTGGATTATCAATACTTAATTGTATGTTTGGACATCCTCCACCTCCCCGATCGATTGCCTCTTCTCCTTATTTAATCACAGAATATTCCTTTCCTCTTTCCGAAATACTCGCCTCGTTCGGCGAGGGATTTTACAACGTCACGTTAATGGCGTTCAGAAATCCGATCGCGTGACGTTTACTTCGATACGCACGATTCCGATCTCTTAATACGTCACGTGGGGTTCGGGCAGCCAATGGCGCGACGGAAGCACCGACGAAAACCGTCGCGTAACGATCACGAGAAGATCTCTCCGGCCGCGCGATTACGCGTGGCGACGCGCCGGTCGGACGTCTAGCCGCGCCTCGTCGAAAACAGCGCCATCTGTCGCGACTTAATTTTACCGGATTTTAACAATTCGAAAAAAAAAAAAAAAAAAAAACACGATGGCCGCTCATTTGGCAATATGCGCTGCCGTATTTGTCACGTGACCGCTTTCAAACATTTCAAAGCCTGCGGTTTCTCGTCACGTGACCGAGCGTAATGTTAAGCGCAGTGCTGCCGCCAACGGCAGTTTTCTGTAGAAATTTGTTACACTAATTTTTTGGCAGAAGTAATGAGGAAATTCTCATTAATACTTAACAAAAGGAAGTTGTTATTATTAATATATATATATATATATATTTTTTTTTTCTTTGCTCCAAACGAATCACTGCATAAACGTCTTTTAAGTATGGCGTCTTAATTAGTTATTAACGCTTCTTTACTTCTATATTTTAAATTTAATTGATGCCCTCCGCCGTACGAATCTCTTGTAAGAACATTCGGAAATTAAGCTTTACAACGCGATTATTAATGATTTCTTTGTGGAAAAAATTAATAATATAATATTTCTGTTTACTGAATTACATTTGGAGTAGATTATCCAATAAACCAATAAACTTTAATATAAATTTAACTCAATTTATTATAATATTTATAGAAACTTCTTGCTTAAATCTGCGCCATCGCGGTATTCACAGTTGAATTTTTTATGTGCGAAACCTGCAATAACGGCAATGCTTAAATAACTTGCGAACGACGGGCATTTTTAATTCTTCCATCAGTAGTGGTTGTTGTTTGCAGGTTTGGCTGTGTTAATACAATTTATTATAACACAGTACAGTTTCTTGTCTTTTCGCTCCATTTTAATGCTATATTCATATTTATTCTAACTGAGAGAGATTTATTTGAATACATTTAACTTGATATTTACTCCGTGGCCGAATTTATTGTGGTATCTTAAAATATATCTGACACTTTAATTGTCTACATTTTCATGTTTATTAAGGCATTATATTTAGTGAATCCTAATTACGTATTATACAAATTGTGCCCACGTAGTTCTGTCGTGATATCGATTAATGAAATATATTGAAATTTTCTCTATAGTGTTCAGTGTTTAGTGTTCAGTGACTTTACACACTAGGCCATTGGTAGGAAAGAATTTTTAGAAAAGTGGTTCACCGGTGACCGAGCGGATAAAACCACTTAATCACATATGGATTTTTTCAGGTTTTCTTCATGTGTCTAATATTTAAATAGGGGCGAGTTTCTAGTAGAAAGTCCTCCCGTAATCGTCTAATTGTTGTGTTGCTTGCATGTATTAAAGCAGCGGTACTCAACCCCTTTTCACTCGCGTACCACCCGAGCCTTCTCTCTACAGACTTGTAATACTAACGGATCCCAGTGGTTTGTGTACCACTAGTTGAGAACTGCTGGATTAAAGCAACGAGTTTAAAATTGTGTAAGACTATAAAGGGGGCCGTTTCCATTTTATACGTAACACTATGAGTCATAATTCGCACTCGCACAATTGTGAAGAACCCATTTAAATTCGTTCGTATCACGGATTATAGAGACATATGGCGTATCTCTTAGATGAAATTGCATCAGATATACATATTCGACACGAAAAATCACTTTTCGTAGCGGCTACGACCTCAAAATAGCAGCTTAATCGACCAATNAGGAAAAAAAACTGTTAATGATCTTTATTCATGCATTTAATTTAAATTTTTGAAAGTTAATCAATTAACGTATTCAAATTTCAATTTTTTAAAATTAATCAATAGATGTTCTTTTTTTTACTTCAGATTTATACTATTTAAGTATTAACTTATTAAACCATATTCGACACGAAAAATCACTTTTCGTAGCGGCTACGACCTCAAAATAGCAGCTTAATCGACCATTTTACCAAAATAATCTCGGTATGATTGAAATCGTTGCCTGTAAGGATTACTCCAGTAATTTTCTTAATTTATGAAAATCGCTTCTCCCTATAGATTTGTCACGAAGGATTTTCAATTTAATTGTACGTTAAAACGATCTCTTTACAGATACCAAGTGCCAAAGTTTTCTCTTGGGTGGATATTTAACACGGAGCCATTTTCATCCAATCAAAACACAAGTTTTAATATCAACAGATCGGTTTATTGTGAACCAGGTGAACATTCAAGATGGCGCACATCACCCATCGCCATCTTTTTACAAACGATATTTACAAGGAACTCTACCCACGACTTCTCACCGGTGAGAAACCAAAGAATTATTATTTACAGTAAAAAATTCATCTATATTTTATTATATAATTTATGTATGTATATTTATATATGAATATGTATCTGTATATACACACGACACGAGCGAATCTACACTCCTCCGTATTGCTAGCTGAAAGAAAATAAATTTTTTGTTGTATTTTTGTATTTTTTTTTTTCCTCTATAGTCTTCGTTTCTAGAGACGTACCAGGGTTCCTGGCGTCATGGAACCTAAAAATAACATATGTTAATGTGCACTAATCTAAGATGCTACTTTTGAAGAGAGATAGAGAGATAGAGAAAGAGAGATAGAGAGAAAGATAGTGGGGGAAAGACGCCTTCTAACTATCAGAAAGGCACGTTTTGTTCGAACTAAGGGAGGAAAACGAAGCACCTACAGTTGATATGGCTCAGCAGCGACTATCTTGCGTACTAGAACATGCCGGGGTGCGATAATAGGCGCAACTACATGCTCCATTGTGCTTACAGCTACCGGGCGTGATGACAAAAACTTCGCACTCCCCGGTCCCACTGGAGTTAGGAGTGGTGGCTAAAGAGCTGTGTTTCGAGGTCCTCCTAGAAGATCCGGGTGGAGGAGGACGAGGAGGAGGTTGAGTGGGGCTTAAATTCCTCAAAAGGTTCCTCAGAAGTGGTAAGTGGGTCCTGGATTCGCCCTGACTATCCGGAACAAAGGCTAAGTTATCAGCACCACTGCGGGTCATACCGCTCACTGCCGTCGTATAGTCCGGGGGTGGTGTAGTGTACGGCTTGACTACGTCTTCGTACGACGGGGGTGGATCGTACATAGGTGGGGATGGTGGAGAATTCCTCCGATTCTCGGCATCTGCAATACAAACCATCGGTTATCAAGTACAGTGCCAATAAAAGATACAAGGATTTCTTATGTTTTTACGTCGAATTCGATAGATTTTGCTAATTTATCTTACTTATAATCCTACACACAAGCGATTTTCTTAGAGACTTTAAATTATATTACATACTTTCTGAGAAAATTGATTAAATTTTATGTAAACGTTTGTTAACAATATTGGTCGAGAATATTTAACCAGGTACATCTATATTAAATTTCAAGGAAAATTTTTAGACATTTTCTACGATTTATGAGCTTCTCACGTTCTAAAACTGGCAACTGTCTGAAATATAAATATATATATTTGCAAGAAAATCGATCAAAATTGTATAAATACCCATAAATCGGTGATAAAATATCGTTAGAGCAAGGTTGTAGTGGCACCATCTAGGGATAATTTAGGTAATTATTATTATAATTGCGAATTAAAATTTTTCAAAATTAAATATCTAATCTTTTTCATAAAAATTTAATTAATTTAGATTTTAAACAAATTAACCGTTTCTGTAAAAATTTAAGAAAACGTAATTAACAACTTAAAAAAAAATAATCCTTTTTTGAAATTTTGCGTGGCGCCATCTCTTGATAATTATGTTAATAATTAAGTTACATAATTAATTACGGTTTTGTTGTTAATGTACAACACAAAAAAATCCCTATTATTGAGATAAAATACACTAAAAATATATACAGACAGATAGATAGAGAGAAAGAGAGAAAAAAAGAGGGATAAGATAAATCAATTTTACGAGAGGGAGTGAGCACGTGCCATTAATTTGTTAGCATCATTGAAAATTGTCCAGTGATTGATAGAGCAGGAAGCACTTTAATCCGGATCACTACAATAAAAGCTCAAACAATACCCAGACAGAAAATTGAAGGCTGAAAGAATCTTTAATGAAATCGTTGCAGGGAATTTTTTTTGGCCTCAATTACGTCCCTCCTCCAACTGTTTTTGTACGTAGACAAACTATTTACTTAGATTAAATAGTTTTTAAAATTTTTTAATAGATATATTGAGACAACTTACCAACATCGCCACTGATGGTGTGTACCGCCTCGCGAATATTCGGAGTCCTCCTCTTCTTCTGCAACTTGGTAAGGACTGTAGCGAATGTCCAGACGAACATACCAAAGCCCGCAATGCTAGCGATGAGTATGAGAGTTGTAGGGTTGCCTGAACCTCCTCCGTCTTGCTTGGGATAATATAACTTGGGTGAGAACGATTGCCACCAGCTGGTGTCCCGACCACTCGAAGTACCTGAAAATATCGAAGCCACGTGAGTGTAGTAAGCTCTTCCACAGCTTTAAATCCTTATATTTCCTGTTATCACACTCGAGTAACTCTATACTGCTACTTGTAGCAATATAAAGTAACGTCCAAATTACTTCTCTTACCAGTCTTTATTATACTATTGGCATTCTTGTTTTTGGTGCGAGTCTATCACGCGATAAACCAATTAGGCAGATTGACTGAGTGGCTATAATTATATCGAGTCCCTGTTGTACTATATATTTACTATAATTTCATATTTATGACGTTAACTGTATGGTTACGTGATCTAAAAATAGATAAACTAATATAAAATTATTCGATTTAAATAGGGGTCGGCTTTAAATTAATGCGTTTGGAAGCTTTGAAGCCCCCTTTTTAATGCAGGGTCTGTGAAATTTTTATAATAATTTTTTATTGATATAGCTGATTAGGAATGCATTTATTTGCGCTTGAATTAAGGATCCACCAGTGGCCGACTGAATAAAACCACCGAACACTCGTGGGTTCGCACCTCCTCAATAGGTTGTCCGCGTGGAGTTTGCCGGGTTTTCTTCGCGTTGCTAACATCTAAATAGAGGGGCCAATTTCCTTTAGAAAGTTCTCCCTGGAGGAATTTTCCTTGGCAAATCGCCCATTGCCGTATACTAAACTAAATCATTGATTTAAGAAGAATGAAGATACTGACCCGTGAAACAAGATGATTCGTCTGATTTATCACCACAATGATTAAATCCATCACATCTCAGTTGCTTCTTTATACATCTTCCATTTTTACAGCGGTACTCCTGCGTGTGGTGGCATTCTGCAACATGATATAACAATACCATTAATCGATCTATTTCGATGTATGAAAATCATGAAATTTAATAGTTACCGTTATAAGTGAACGTGCTATAAACGATCGACATGAAGGAATTGTTTCCAAAACACCCACTAAACCTTAAATAATAACCCGAACTAGCTGATACAATCAGCTCTTGACCAGATGGTTTCTGGTGGTAACCTCTGGCTGTGTAGAGAAGGCGGGAGGTGGACGTGATACCTTGTCTAATCTCCAAAGTTGACTTTTGACCTAAGAGAAATATGTACCATATACTTGTGGATTCTTCTTTACAGCATTTTATTTTGGCTAAGGTACTTCAGCCTGAAGTACCTTAGCCAAAGCAAAGTACCAAATCCGAGTCAACTCAACAATGACTTGAAGTCTTCGGGTCAAACTGGGATTCGTATAACTTACCCATGTTCTTAAATTGGGCTATTCTTAATGCTAAATAAGTTTCGTAGGTGTAGGTGAATTTAGGATGGATAATCCAAACACAATCATAAATCTGCATCTTCTGGTCAGTATTGGTTTTGCTTAACGTGATTACTCCTCCATGATTTTCTAGAGAACCACCGCATTCTGTAATGGAAGCAGCATAAAATTATTCTTGTTTTGTCGTCACTAAAAACGTTTTTTTATTAAATTGAAATTCACCCGTTGAAGGTAACATCACTTGGCACTTCTCAGCATCTGCAAAAGGATCCAAGTTAGATAAAGCTAATTAATTACGAATAGTTTGATAACATAATTAAACATATATTGTACCTGCAAAGAATGCATACTTGGCTCTGAAACCAGAATTTGGATAATCATCGTTTGCTTTAAAGTAAAGTGTTAAATTAGGCCCTGTTGAAACTGTAACTGGTGGACGGAAGATATTCCCATCATACATTGCTATTCGTGTTCTATTAGTATCCAGAACCTGTTAATAAATAAATTGAAGTTTAAAATATTTCGGCGTATTTAGTCATTTATAAATATAAAAATAAATATTTCTCTACAAGGATTTAATAAAATTAAAATATTCTTATGTTCCTTAATCCTAGTAAGATTAACGGAACTGACATTGTCTAGTAGTTCACCTGCTTATATAATAGTATTGAAGAACATCAGGATCTCTCAGAAATTCTGATGTTCTTCAAACATTTGTGTGATTCTGCAACGTGTTTGTGCGATTCTGGGTGAGAGAGGCCTAGTCTAATTATCTTTTCAGGCCCCATAAATGGTCCCTCTGGTGCTATCCTATAATGTATATAGGTCCAAATAGTGCCAAAATTTCGCTGCATTTGGAAAATCGATTTCATTTTCTGCAATTGAAATTACTGCGGAAACCATTATTATAAATGATTTCTTCAATATTTCAGCTATTATGGATCCATTGTCGCATACAAAGTTTTTCGTTTGCTTTGTAGAAATATAGCAGGCTTGGGTATATAATATAGCACAAGTTTAGAAGATTAATATTTACTAAATCATAATAAAAATTATCTTACAGAATATACCACAGAGATAATTTAGGGCCACTTCTCAACGTCATATCAACCACTGTTTAGGTCCCAGCCCGATTTCCTTGAAGGTCTTATACGGATACAACTACAACACCAAACGATCGCCTAATTATCGGGCTATAATAGCCCGATAATTAGGCGATCGTTTGGTGTTGTTGTTATCTACTCGGGCTGTGAGTTGATGTTTATATATACGGATACAACTATAAACCGCAATGACCACCAAGAAGGCAAAGACCCTGACTGTGTTTGTGGTCTTCGCTTTCTTAGAGCCTAGTCTCAAGTAATCTGAGTGTCTGGCACGTTGGGAGTATCATGTGGAACGAACTCATTTAGTGAATTTTATCTCAATGAACGAGTTCCTCTCCCGTGAAACTATGAGTTCGTGTGACCACTTAAATAACTTAAGACTAGACACCTTAAATCTACAAAATTAAATTATAAATTAAGTAGAAATGTCAGGTTCTTTAAAAAATGGAGGCTAATTATTAAAGGGATTGTAACAAAAGACCAGACTGATTGAGTGGGGCAACACAACCTTTGGCAGATCGCCCATAAACACATGGACGATTTGCATACGGGGTGCCTGCCGACAGATTTTCTATGGTAAGCCGTCGCATGATTAACACGTGAAGAAAACTCCACGTGGCCAGCACATTGGTCAGGCGCAAAAACAGGCACATCACTGTGTTCAGTGATGTTATCCACTCGTTCAATGATAGGCGCTGTAGAAAAGAAACTAAAATGCTAAACAATTGATGGATGAATTAATAATTAATAATATTTTCCACGTTTTCCATCCACTTAAACAAGAATAATTTCGAAATAAGCAGTACTAAATTCAGATTTAATATCAAAATTCAGCCTCCATTTACGCCTTAATACATTCATTCATCATCAAAGGGATAAAAGCACAGAAGACAAACATAAACACAAAATTGAAATATACAAAAGAACGGGGGGAAAAATAAGAATAATAAAATATATTAATGGCTTATTTTCTATTCAAAACAACATGAATATTACATAAACTTTCCGAAAAGCAAAACACATTTTCTGTTTTATTTATTATTACTTTTTTATTATTATTTTCCTCTTCTCTATATTCCATTAGAAATATTTGAAAATTTATATATTTAAATGGGGAAAAGAAAATTTATATCTAGTTTTATTGAGAAATATGAATGCTAGCAATTTTCCCTTCGACACTGTTCAAGAATTATTTGCTTTATTTTATTTTTTATTTTAGAAAAATATGTAAACATCTTCAAAAGTTCTCTATTAAATTTGAAAAGATAAATTTTCTTCTTTTTTTTGGAAGTAAATTTTTAAGTATGGTTTATAAAACGCTTATTTTATGAATTATAGAATGTTCTATACTCCCTCTCTGTGAATTCCAGCCTGTCTGGTCGTGTATTTTCTATTAATTTTAATGGAGCATTCTAAATAAGTTATATATTTTATGGAGGAAACACATTATGCATATGATTTTATTTAATTTCACTCTATTAATAATACAGGAAAAAAATTGTTTTTTTTTTTTACGATTTCTTGCTTGTTTTATATCGATTTTATTACATTAAATAATAAAAATATATACGTATATATGCCTATTTACATATGTTAATTTACTTATAAATAGGTGATAGTATTCATATCGAGATTGAAAATGGATACATTTTTCTATTTATCAGAATCGGTTATGAGATTTATATCAAATTTTATAACCTAAATCTTTATAAATATGAATATTTGCAGTGACTATAAAGTAAACAAAATATTCTCAGGAGATTTATAAAAAAAATTAATAAATAAAGTAAAGTAAAATAAAACGTTTTCTTCAGACAGGCAGTTCCATCCGTTATACGTTAGATATCGAGTAATAAAATTTTTCAACGACGTCATTGTTTCGTTTACTCTAATTGGTCGAATTTGAAATAGACATTAGTCCTCTGTTAATCTCTAAAATTTTTAATGATTTCTAGTTTTTTTCGATAAATAATTAATCTCTAGAATTATTTATTTATTTGCATTGTTCTTTGGCATAAGATTTTTATATTTAAAATCACTTCTATTTAAATTTGTTAATGATGTTGACAATGGCAAAACGGTTTATTAGTGACCGAATGAATACATTGCCACATAGCCCACCCGGGGCACCCCTTTGGCCACATAAGCCATCAGCCAAGGGGAATACTCTATTTTATGGAAATTTTTCCTATTTATTTGTTAGGTACGTGAAGAAAAACCGAAAAATTCCCGCAAACCAGCGGTCTCATCCACTCGGACATTTATGCATACTGTATTCGATCCTGGGTCCTCCAGAGTGGTAAGTTTAACCGCCTCAAACAAGAAAACAAACAGATCTATATCTGGAAGTTTTAAATTTATAATTGCCCTAAAGTCTAGAACTTTAGATGGATCCTAGCTTCTTCATATAGAGTTCTAAATAATACTAAAGTTCTTCTGTATGTAAATTCTAGAGTTATTTAATATTCTAGTAGATAAAAAAAAATCTAGAATTTTCAAAATGTGGAGAAGAAGCTCTACGTAATTTATTTATATGCATAGTTCTATAGAAATGATTAAATCAGCTACAAACTCTTGAAAATACAGTCGACCCCCTATAACACTGTTGATTTTTCCGTTTTATATGAATTCCATGTTGTACGAGTCACTTAAATTTTACAAATACGTGTGCCGGGCTGTGAACGGCTCGCGTATTTCTAAAATGTAAGTGACTCGTACAACATAGAATTCATATAAAACGGAAAAATCAACAGTGTTATAGGGAGGGTCGACTGTAATCGTTGTGTACACTCCACACGCCATTTTGGATCATTTGAATACTTTTATATTCCGAAATATGTCGTGTATTTATTTAATATCTTCCTTTATAAAAGAAATTACTGTATAAAAATTTAAAATCATTTCATATATTTGCACATATCATGCTAGCGTGGATATTGCAACTATTTCTTGTGAAGTTAAAGCCATTATTAAACTATAGATTACACAGAATTCTAGATAATTTGTAAGTAGCTAGAATTATTTATGATTTTTTTTCTAAAAGTTTAATCAATTTTCTCGGGATGATATTAAAAATTTTATGCATAAGATAAACATATAAGAGAAGAATTATAGAAAAACAACTTCTCTATATAAAAAAATAAATCTATTCAGTAAATCAAAAGCACGAAAGGTAAGACGATTGGAGAAGAAATAATTTTTTAAAATGATGAAGAATTTTAAAATATATTGAATCACACATTTAATAAAAAAAAGAAATGAAATTTTCTAACTTACTTCGAAGATTAAAAAATAAAAAATAAAAAAATAAAATAAAATTCAAAAATATCTGAAAAGAGAAATAAGTCTGGAAAAATTCAATAAAGGAGGAAAAGAAATCTGGTAAGATCAATAGGAGAACATCACACGATAGATTTTTATAGGAAGGAAGGGGGGAAAAATGATAATAAATATAAGAAGAAGAAGAAGAAGAAGAAGAAAAAGAATGCACTTGCCTCTATGTATGACCAAGGTGATATACGAAAATCGGTGAATATTATTTGTACGCAACCCATGACATTTAAATTGTGAAATCTGTATTCTGCAACGTAATCACTCGGATAGATTTGAGGAAAATAAGGAGATTGAAAAGTTCCTGTGCCATTGGATTCTGAATAGTCTTGTGTGCCTTGGAAGGTATAGATGTTGTCTATAAAAGAAAAAGTAAAAAATAAAAATAACCAATAGAGCCTTAATAATTTTGTTATAGATTGAATTGACATTCGGATGAGTGGTATATAAATTTTAGTCTAAAATATCTTATTTTCTATCGAGGAAATAAATTTTATTTTCCAGGGAGAGAGGGGGGAGAAAAGCAATTCCTCTTGGCTTCTAGGAGTTTCTTATACAAGATTGATTAATTTTTAATTGAATTTATTATGAAGAAGAGAAGATTTAAAGGATGTACTGCCATCTATTGATGATGATCTTGGTCCTCTGAAGGATAATGTTTCTGCTGACGTGATAACGTTGAATGTATGTTATGGCTCATAATTAATTTCAGTTAAAATAATTGAAATTAATTATTTAAAAATGTTAAAAGGTATCATTTACCTAATTACCTTAGGAAAAAAAACTGTTAATGATCTTTATTCATGCATTTAATTTAAATTTTTGAAAGTTAATCAATTAACGTATTCAAATTTCAATTTTTTAAAATTAATCAATAGATGTTCTTTTTTTTACTTCAGATTTATACTATTTAAGTATTAACTTATTAAACTATCTTCAAATATTACTTTTTTTGATAATTAACCAATAGAATTTTTTAAATTTTATTTTTAACCAATAACTTACTTAGATTCAAATTTTCAAATTTAAATTATTTAAGTATTGACCAATCGGATGATGGCATTTAAAATTTTGAATTCAAATATCTGATTCATCAACCAATAGCGTTATCTGAACGAAATTTAAAGATTTGAAGTTATTTATTAATTAAAATTCATTTAATAAACGTGGAAAAAAGCTTAGAAAGTAAAAATACCAGTATATATTTGAAATTTATTACTTTTTTTGTGGACTATAGTTTATAAAATGATATGAAACATATTTTTTTCCCTCTTCCCTCAATTTAAAGCGTACATTCGATATTAGAAAACAGGGATAAAGTTACTCAAGGGCTAAAATTGATTAAGTATCCAATAAAGGGCTTTAATCAAAACAGTTTTCTTTTCTAATATTGATTGAATTTTCTGAAGCATGAAGGATAAAGAAATTTTTCATCCCTGAGAAATTTTTCTCTTGATATTTTCTAATCAAAGTAAAAGGATATTAATTTTTCCCCCCGCCTTTTCAATTTGGATTAAATGTACGACAACGAAATTTCTTATAAGTGAATTAAAAAGTAATTTACTGATCACTCTTTAATAAAAAAAAAAGAATACTATATCTGTGCTTTATGCCGTTCTATTATTAATATTGTTGCATTTATTTAAAATAGCCAGCAACGAGCTGCGTAACTTTCCTGGCAACAACGTTTAAAACGTCGTGCGTGGCGCCATCTGTTATCATGTTTTATTTCAATAACTTTTTATATAATTAATTATTATAACGTGGAGAAAAATGCTTAACTTTTAGGGTAGGGATGAGTTTTTTAAAAGTTGTAACGAGTAAGACCGTCATTAAAATAGATCCCATTCGAGTTATGACACTCGATCTGTAAACACCAATATTTAAAAGGGATAGGACTTCGGTCGAGTGTTATCGTATAGGCAAAAAGGGCAATTGACTGGGGGCCCCCACCAACAGAAGGATCCCAAACCAATCTTTTATAAGAAAGTATTTCCCCAAAGAAAGTGGAAATATATTCTTCTTGAAGAAAAAAATGTTTGAAATCAACACCGTACAGTACACGGGGCCCCTAAATTAAATTTACCTGTGCCCCCACGAAGTTATAACGAGCCACTGCAGGAATTATTAAGCTGTGTCCCCAGTAAAAGTAAAAGTAAAAATAAAAATAAACAAAAAAGTAATTTTTGTCTCCATCTTGTAATATAATTAAACCATTTTAATACGTATTTTTAGATTTAATTTTTATTACGTTTTTGCTATTTTTGTATTTAAAAACTTCTACTTAATTAAAATAAAGTCATGTTAAATGGCATTATTTATTCATTAATGATGATTTGTTTCAAAGATATTTTCGTATAAAAAAAAATTCATGGAAATTTAATTTGGAATAAAGCTTTATTAATCTGTTTATATCTGAATAATTAATGTATAAATAAATTATTATATTAAACGGATTTATTTTTATGTAAATTAGAAATAAAAATAGTTAAATATTTAAATTAGGCGGATATTATTAGTTATATCTTCGAACGTGTTAATTAATAAAAATTCGTTAAATTTTTAAAATTGTTTTTATTTTTAAATAGGAAGAAAATTATTGGCTAATATTTCGAGTTATATATTATTAAAAGTCGATTGGCTAAGCTATTTTTAAATAAAAATGAGACTATTGGCTAATATTTAAATTTTCAAATTACTTAAAGTCTATTGGTTAATACATTTTTAATCAAGAATAAGACTATTGGCTGATATTTAAATTTTCAAATTACTTAAAGTCTATTGGTTAATACATTTTTTATCAAGAATAAGACTATTGGCCGATATTTAAATTTTGAAATTAAAGTCTATTGGTTAAATTATCTTTTACATATATGAATTTAAAGAAAATTAATTGTTTTATATTTTAAAATTTTGACATTAAAAAACAAATAACCGTTAATTTAATTTAAAATAAACAAATAAATAAATAAAACATTACGAATATCAATTGAGTAATACGTTAGAAATATACATACTAATTGGATACAAATGATTAAATATAAAAGTTTCAAGCCCAAAGCAAAAATTAAAAATTTCATTTAAAATTTAAAATAATTTCATTTAAATTTAATTAAAGTTTAAATTAAAAATACTTTCATAATTTTAATTTGTAAACAAATCTGCTCATGGCGCCATCTCTGGAAGATTACTATAATTTTTTTTTTTATTATGATTATTTTTCTTTTTTTTCATAAAGTTGCATAATAACTTTTCTAAAAAATATTTAAATTTTTCTTTTCCCTAACATACTTGTTTCCAATAAAAAAAAATAAATAAATCCAGTACCTTAGAAAATTGATTTTTATCAAAGAATTCCTTTTTTATATTAAAGGTAAGCAATTTTTAAGAGTTTCTTAGGACCAAAAAAAAAAGGTAGATTCAATACCAGAAACAACACAAATTGGATATTTCGGGTTGTACAATTTTATTTTGCATTCTTATTCAGCTTTATATATATAAATTTATAGAGTTTGTTTCCTTTTTTTTCTAACGTAGCATCCTGGCTATGAATGTAACATATGACCGAAGCTCTTCTTTGAAATATTTTAATATCAAGTTTATGGATTTTTGTTCTACTGATATATTGCTATTTTTTAAAATTATATTTAAAAATTTATGCTTACACGGATACATATATACCTCCTATTCATCCACCTTTTATAACTTATAAAACCTTATCTCTCTTCTCAGTTCTAAATCAAATTTATTGAACTTTGCAAGATTTAATTAAATTTCCTTCCCTTTTTTTAAAGTTTAATACCCCTATTTTACTCTATTTCATTTTTTTTTCATTTAATCTTTAGTTAAGTGCTTTATCTCTTCCTCATAATCACCTCGTATAATTAGAAATTTCTTATAAATTATCATCCAATGAATCTTCTGAGAATCACAGTTTAAATCATTCCATTGGACGAGCTTCTAATAGCTCCAGCGTGTAATTAGCCGTAAATATTTTTACTAATTTCAAATCTGGATTATTTTTAACAGCTTTAAAAAAAATCGATAATCCGGTATTTTTAAGGCTAGAGAAATTAATTCAAGCCGACGCTGTAAATTACAATTTAATTTACGTTTCGCTTAATTGATTATAATTAATTCTCATTCATAAGATGTAATTAACTTTATTACTGTTATGCATAATTATAAATGACAAATTTTCGTCCATAAAACATAATTAAACTCCTCTTCTAAATTTCTTTTCCTTAATGCTTAACGAACGGAGGGACTTTTTAAAAATCGAAATTAATAAATACGTAAATCGCGGATACGTCAATAAATCGTTGGCCCCTCCCGCTTTCGATCGGCCCCTCCCACCGTCAGTGGGCCACGCCTCTTTCGCTGTTTGGCCACGCCTCTTTCGTCACCAAGTCACGCCCACAAACGACGGCTCCAACTTTGTAATGTTGATGCCCACTCCCCCATTGGTAATTGGCCCACCCACTTCGGAATTGGCCACGCCCACGAGCACGCCCCTCTAAATAAACTGGGGAATCGACTGTATTTTTTTTCTAACGAACTTTTAAAACCGTTTTAAACCCGAGAAACGTCTGGAAATTGAATATATAATTAATTGCATTTTCCTAAATGCATTTTAAAGAAAGTTTGAAAGATTTAAATTGCATTAAAGATTTTTTTTCTATGGGGAAGAAAAATGGATGAATGAATGAATGGGAAGGAAAGTTGTAATTTTACTTCTCTCATCAAATGGAAATTCTTTTTTTTTTATTATTATTATCTTCGCGTATACTTAATCGTTTCTTTAAATTGAAGACAAGACAAGTAGATTAATTATCCTTCTTTGTGATTCTCATTTACATTCATACCCGATAGCAGTCTAATTATGCGAATTTTATTACCATTAAAAAAATTTAATGTAGTTAGTTCGGGCATTAAAAATCTAAGGAAGGAGAAAAAAACACCAAATGGAAATTTTTAATAATCTAATAAGAATATTTTTATTCGATTATTTAAACTTCCTCAATTTTTTTTACAAGATGACAATGTATTCTATGGAGTAGTCAGCTTGAACTTTGACTTTATTGAGGAAATTACATTGATTTCTTAAGGATTTCTCGATGCAAAATGGCGTCTTAAGTTGGAATTTTTTTCTTTAGAAAAATTTAGTCGATTTTATATTAAACTGGACTGCTGACTAGTTTCTTGCAGGCTTCTTCAACATGTCATCGTACATTTTAATAGATGAAATTTGAGCTATATATATTTTAGATTTTTAAAATTAAAACTTATTAAAGGAAAGGATATAAAATAATTTGTATTTTAGAATGCTGAAACATATCTTAAGAATAGAAATAAATTGCAAGTTGGGATAATTTCGTGATCTTATTTTGGCATTCTAAATTTGCTTTTTAGAACAGGGGAACCTGAGAAGGTATCAGGGAGTTTGGGGCCTCTTGGCAGCTTGGGCCTTTTATGCATCCTTAAATTTACTTTTTTTCCATCAAGTTTGAGTTAGCCTTTACTTCAGCAAAGATAACTGCCAAATATATGTATATATCTGCATATATGATGAATTAATGGTTCTCAATTTCTCTAAACTAGTGGCACACTTATTAATGGTGTACTAATGTGTTGTACCAAAGATAATCTATAAGATATAAATGAAAAACAATCACTGGTAAATTACAATTTTTAGCATCCATATTGGAATTGAGAACATTCGAATATTGCAAACTCAGAGTTTAAAGAAGCAGAGATTCAGACGACAAAAATTGTTTTATAGAGAAAAATCTCGATCTGAATTTCAGTTATCAGCGTTAGAAATCAATATCTAAATTTAAATCCATGGATCTGAATCGATTTTACCCGAATTGATCGATCGATTTTTATTAAATTTTTATGAATCAAACACTGATCGATACTTCAGAATTACATGGAAAATTCTGAAAACAAAGGTCAGTTTTGAAAGTTTAACATCACAATTTGGTCAGCCGCCCAAATCCATAGCCATAAATTAAAGTTAATGGTTCATAGTCTGGGATTCAAAAACATGGGGAAAAAACAAGTGTCTACAAGAATTCAATTTGTTTTCTGTCTGGAGGAGTTTCTAAATTTAATTTTCTCGTCGAATCAGGATTATAAATCCGTAAGTTAATCCTTCAGCATTACAAATAGACTATTGAAGTCTATTTTTAGTTGAAAAAAAGATTGATTTTTCAGCTAGTAAACCATTAACCCAAATTGAAAGATCGACGTATCGATTGTGTTGTCTACAATCTTATAAGTTACACACGAATAAAACTTAAGGGGATTTACACTTACTCAATACAATGAACTGTAAGGTGAAAGAATCAAAGGCTGATTTTCGTGTATAACGAATGGAAGTGACCTTGGTCTGAGATTCCACGTGATGGAACGAGCTGTTTCGCCCATAACCGCATAGATGACGCCTGACGTGGTCGTAAGATGGTTCTACAATTTGGACGTAACTACACCTGAAAAATTAATTTAAAAATGTTGTTAATTTAATGATATTTCAAGAAATATGAATAATACTAAACGAATTTCTATAGTATTTAATTGGTTTATCCGGTAAAACTACTGTAGTACAAATACAGCTGTACAACTAACAGACTTCACTATCATGTATAAATGTGAAATTTTCTTATTAAAATGGCTTTTAATATATAGAAATTTACTGCTTAAGTACAATTTCAAAAAGTAAAACTGCAAAATTTAATTACAGTGTTTACATTATTGCTGAAACAGGAAACCATTAGTACAGAGACCTTTCACAGTAAGACAGTAAATTACATTTCGTGAAATTCAGAATACTATAGAGATTGTTCTACAGTAGTATATTTGTAGGATTGAGTCTCTCTTTTGCCTGCTGCTTATTCCTTTTTTGGATCATTATGTGTGTAGAGTAGTACGCTAGTACGTAAGTGCCAAAGTGCTTAAGTGTGATTGTAAGTGCCCAGTGACAAAGGCACTAATGGCTTCCTGTTTTAGTAGTCATTACAGGTATACGTGAAACATTGCCAAATGTTAACAGCTTAGTTTATTGATGTTAATACTACAAAAGTATTATAATATTTGATTTATAATTTATTCAAAAACTCTAATAAAATCATTGTTAGAAAAAGCTATTGTATGCTACTACAAAAACAGAAGAAATTGGGTTATAGAACATAATATTGCTATTTGCAAAATGGCTATTTATAAGATCTGTTATAGTAACAGAACAGCGAATCCCGAATAAAGAAAGTAGCACGCGAATTTAAATTACCTGCAACTGTTGTCTTGGCTACAGGTAGAAATATTTATATGAAGAAAAGACACAGAGATATGGCAGGACGGACACGTGACCAATTCGACCATACACGTCGTTGGTACTGTACTTGTGCCATTTTGACCGGACGGAAAGCTTTCGTTTCCAACACTTATCTGTCCAACTTCACCCACTTTTATGTAATACGTGTATTCATTCAACATTGTACAAAGATCTGAAAATAAAAATAATTAATTTTATTTAAAAATTTAGTTTAAAAAACGCAGATTTAATTACTAACGTAAATAAAATTACTGAAATTATCCAACAATTTTAGTAAAATATTCGAATTTCTTGTTAAAACGTGCGTAAGATTATTTAGATTATAAATATTAAAGGCCCTAGTTGAAGCCCTAAGCTGTGACGTATAAAACCCTTACTTTCTACTAATTAGTAATAAATTAAAAAGCGTGAGGCCCTAAAACGTAGCTCATTTAGTTTACGTGCAAATTTTATTTTAGGCATTTAGACCATTAATTAGTTACTTATCAATTATAATTCGTTTAAATTTTATATTAAAACTGATAATTTTATATTAATTTTTAAAATTTTATCCCCTGTAAATGGTACTTCACTGTAAGATGACATACTTCACTGCAATGCTCCTCGTGATTCTGCTTTAATATAGTTAATATAACTCGTGTTATTTTCGTCATAACAGAGTGCAATGAACCTTTAGAAATCAATTTATGAGTTAACTATAGATTAACCTAATTATTAAAGTAATATCACATGTTATTTTGTTGTTCTGACCCCATCTCTCCCTATACGATTTTTCATCTCTGAAGTAAACATTTCAATTTGAAACACAGTTGTAAAACTCTGTAATTTATATTTCATTCCTGTTTTCTTCGCACGATAAACTTCTTCTTTTTTTACATTTTCTATCTAACAGGAAGGATAGATAAATTTGTTTTTTGTTCTCAAATGTCACGAACAGAATCGATAATAATAATAGCAATCGTGAGTTCCAATAATAACTGTCCAGTTAACGTGTAAATTACAATAATTTGCCATTATTACTTTACTATAGCAACGAGTCCTTTGTATATTTAATTAGTTTAACTATAGATTAATTGATCAAATATATATATATATTGTGATTTCCTTGTTTAAAATGTTGATTTGGAAGAGGGAAAAATAATGTTAGAAGTTTGAAATTTTCTGATATTTTTTCTTTTTATCATATTTTCAGTTTTTTAATGTTTTTCTTATTTTAAAGTTTAACTGATACAGCTATCTTTTACTGCAATCTATTTCTATAAAGCTTTCTTGACACTGTCCCTTTAGCAACGTCGTTTGTCTGTTCTTTTTTATTTTTTTTTTCTGCTGTTCCTTTACTGATTCTCTTCAAGATTTTTTTTTTAAAATTTACAACAAAATACTTTTAGTTCTTGTTTTTCTTCTCTTTTTTTTTCAATTGTTCAACTTAAAAATTTAGGTTTTAACAACAGTTCTACTTATCTTCATATTTACACCATTAAATCTTAACAAACAAAAGAAAAATAAACTTTTCTACTAACAGAATGCAATTTATTTCCCCAATTTTCTTTCCAATTTAATATTATTTTATATTCTAGATAATTAAATTCTAATTAAATCAATCTCTTCGGATGTAATATTTCGTTAATTAAGTCGAATTCTCAATTGTAGACTTTTATTAAAAGTTGTTAACTTAATTTAATTTTTACTCATTTTCTATTATACAAAAAAAAAGACGTGCTGCTATTATATCAACATTTTGCTTATAAATCAATAAAGAAGCTTGTTTTATTTTTTTCTATCTACTTTTTAAAATTCAAGTCAGCCCCTGTAAAGCTATCATCTCTGCAAGCATAGATACTTCACTGCAAAGCACACAAATTAATTTTCGCAAGATTAAACTTGTTTATCGAGTAAATTAATAAATAATTCGGAGGGGGAGTGGTGTTTTTTAACGTTTTAAATTAATTCTATAGACGTTAAGCCGTGTTCTTAATAAATTTTATCTTTAGAAAACGGTATTAAAATGTATTAAAATAACGAACGTTTTAAATTCCAAACATTCATTCGCAGTGATAAAATATTAAAAAATATGTTAATTTATGTCCTTGTCCTGTGTTGTATTCGTTTAAAAATTGTGTTGTGAATGACGCAAAGAGACAGTCGCCAATTGTTCCATGTAAAAATCGTTTTCAGCTGAAGAGAACGTAACACGAAACCATTTTACATGTACTTTTGTAAACTTTCCTTATCGATCCTCTTCCCATTTGATCACGGTTTCTGAGTTTCTAAACTATTTCATCCGTTTTTATTTTCATCTAAAAAACGAAATTATATATATATAAATTCCTTTATAAACTAAAAAAAACAGCAAGAAGAGACCTGCCCCTGTAAATGATGCTTCTCTTCACAATAAAATACTTCTCTGCAACACACAAAGATTAATGTGGAACTTCTCATGTTCGAATATATATTTCCAGACAAGATCAATACTTTAGCTATTTGTAATCTTATACTACTTTAAGAATAAATTACAGTAATTTATATTATATCTATAAATAAGGAGGATTTATTTATCTTTCTCCAGTTTTTTTTATACGTGTAAACGAACTATACAGGTTATTAATCTAAATTAAACATTACCGGGATAATTTATTTATTATTTTAAATAGATTTATAGGTTAAATAATAATAATAAGAAGAAGAAACTTACCACCGCTTGGAAAACTGTAAACACGAGATGTAAAACTTACAAGCAAACACATCACCAACAAACCTAATTTTTTTTTTTT